AATTAGATATGAAAATAGATTTAAAGGTAATCCTAAGAATTTTTACACCAAAATTACATGTTAGGATAAAAGTTGGAGGTGCACCTTAATTGGATTGTTTAAGGTTGCAACCTTATACAAACCGCACCCATATATATATATATATATATATACTAGTTCTGCTAGTTAGAGTGTCTTGGAGGGTCTGCTTTTCATTAATCAAAATTAACACCCTTGTGATAAGAAAGGGGACAGGAATGATCTTCCCTTCCTGTCCCTTCCCTTTAAACGCCCATTGTCCAAGATTCCCCACTGCTGCCCCCCCCCCTGCTCGATGTGCAGGAAGGAGCAAAGAGTTGCCTGTAGTATCCTAGGACTTAGCATGCAACCCCAGAATGGTTAACTGTTAACGGCACGTCGAATCGAAGGCATTTAACAGACATTTGCTCACGTTATATAGTCCTAGATATACGTTTGGTCAGGCAAAACTCCAATTGAACTTTTGGTCAAATAGGAGACCTTCAGCTTTTCAACTAGGGCATCTCCATCCACCAATAAATAAGAACCATATGCACTCTACTATTGAACCATTCGTCTACCAATATTCACAGCATAACCATATTTCATACAACATATAACAGGAACAGTTTATTCAAATTGTACTTCAATGTTTCCATAGCACAACAAGATAATCTGAGACATCAAGATATTTGGCCCTTCGATATTGACTGCAGACAGCCTTCTAACAAAAGCATACAGGTCCATGATTCATTCTAAGACAAAATTTGAAGTCAATTTATAGCATTCCATTATCTTAAGCATCATTTTTTGTAAACATAGATGGAATGAAGGGATAAAACCCAAAGAGAAAACCAAAACAGAAATACAAACCTGTACTTCTTTGCAAAATGCTGGATCAGAAAACCAGGTCTCATCAACAACAACATCAGGTGTTCGGGGATTTCTATTATAAACTACGGCTGCTACGGAGGATGTCAAAACCACCCTTTTAACAGATGATGTTTTGGAACAAGATGCAAGAACATTAAGAGTTCCCTTCACAGCTGGATCAATCAGTTCAGTCTGGTACATCCAATCAAACAAAATCCATTAGATATAAGCAAATAAAAAAACCCAAGATATAATCATATAGCATTAAGCAAAAATTTTAGATGGTTATTATAGGAGTTCTAGAAAGATCAACTTGAATTTTGACGGCTTCTTGCTATCTAGTATCCACAAGAGTAGCACCTTGGATACCAGTTCCAATACAACCAATCAATATCATAGCATTGTAGATGCCCCAAAAGAATGATGTGTACAATAAAATGGGATTGAGATACTTATGTAAAGTATCACATTTAGGAACATTAGTTGAACTACACAAATTAACTCATAGAAATATCATGATCATACGAAGCTATGTATGCGACAACATGAACCAAACTAACCATATGGCCCTGCGCATTGTCCTATTTCTGTCATGGAGGCACACACACTATGGTATTGACTTAAATCAACCACCTAAAGAGAACACATGGTATTCTGTACTTTTGAGGAAATGCTTGTACAATAGAATATGTCATATGCGTGATTGATTTAATAGACTTTTTCTGCATATTGTTGGTAATCTTAACCACCAGAAATACGCCATGGATGTAGAATCGGGAGAATAGATCATTTCCTTAGGAATTGCCGAAGAATTGGCAAATAACCCGCTATATGCAAAGGCAAAACCCAAGCTAAGCAAATCACTAACGTGATGCAATGAAACTCAAAAGAATGCAATCTTTAAAACATGTCAAAATGGCCTTGATGATGGTGTTTTAAATTGATCACAAATTCAAATCAAGAAAGCCAATCTTAACTTTGCAAAAACCTCGAACATTATTAGGAATTATAGCATTTCAATTAAAAGCACAACCTGCTCTCATTCTAAAACCCATCAGACAACAAAATTGATTACAAGGGAAATTTAGAAAAAAATAATTTACTCCCAAAGATACGAAAGTTGGTAAGTATCAAGAAACAGGACACCTCAAGCGTCTAAATCAAGTTCTTAACGTATGATAACATTAGTAACCAAATGCAAATAATTTAGGAACAACCTGAGGGTCCTTGCTTGAAAAAAAAAATGGTGATGCTGTATGAAAAACACCAGCACATCCATCCATTGCTGCATCAAAGGATCCATCTTTCAGGTTGTCAGCATTGTACAGTTTAAGCCGTTCATTGGCTCCTTCGAGTTCGAGTAAGTGTTTGGTCTTCTTTGGGTCATCTGCCATACCATGACATGAAAACATCGACTACAATTCCACAATTCGAATGCATGCGTAAAAATTATATGCAAGTGACAACCAATAAAAAACAATGTAAATAATAAGACACTGGACAGCATCAATATATAACTTTTGAATCACTTGCCACACCAAGGAAGAAATGCAATATAAATCATTTGATCACTGGTTTGCGAGTTGAATTCCATCAACTACTACATAATTTACCCAAAAACTTAACTATGATTTAAGGAAATCCAACGGACTATACTTACCACACCAAAATCAAACAGACAATCACATTAAGGTTCTAGAAACAAAACAACCATCCCAACCATTTTTGAGAAAAAGTTTCTCAAGAGAACACGTCAATATCAAGTCAGATCTAAGAAATTCACCTAAGTTAACCAACAAATGATTGTAAAGTACAATGTTCTCAATTTAAGAAACAACTTTAAACCACAAAAAATAGAAGACTTTTAACTTCATGAAACAATTCTAATAATGTATTTTCAAGTTCATTGGTATGTAATTAAAACATCCTTCATGTGACATCATATATTCTACCACTGTGTCAGTTAGGGATCAATTCCTAGTCCAAACTGGATAACCTTATCTGGACAAGCTTCAAGAGATATAACCTCAACGCAAGTTATAGTTTACACAGCAACCACAAAATTATTGATAAATATGAAAACGTATACATCATATGACCAAATAAGAATTTAGACTAATTAAAAGAACCACCAAAAAGTTCACACTAGCAAAACTAGATCGCCATTTTATTTATTTGATAAACTAAATTCAATTTGACACCCAGTTAACCGTTGACTCCTGAGTTTTCTTCTTTCATTGTCCGAAATCAAGATATCCATAACGTCAATATGAGGATAAAAATTAGAAATGAGATAGTAACAATTTAGATATATACCAAATCATCAAATAAACAAATGAAGAGACAAATGATCATACGATCATATACGAATAAAATTAGATTATTGATGTCTCTGAAACCCCGTCTCTATAGATCAAACCTTGATTTGCTTATTTCATTCAGATTAAAGCCAGCAAATTCCGAAAATTTGAATGGTAAAAGATATTATCGTGATTTCATTCATTCAGTACATCAAAGTCAATTCCATTCACAGTTCGCTTTTGACTCCTTAGTTTTATATTTCTCTCTCATCCTCCAGAGAAATAGATATCCTTGGACCAAGAAAAAAAAGAGAGGCAAAAGGAGAAAGATGGTTAACTGATATCGCGAACAGTGGCTTGAACGGTGTAACCCCTCTGTAAAAGGAGCTTGACGAGCCATGAGGCAATGAAGCCTGAAGCTCCAGTTACACACACTACCTTCCCGCTCATCCTCACTCTCTCTAACTTTTTCTCTCTAGCTCTAGCGGAATCAGGACACAACGGAGAACGAGCTTTTTTTTCGTTCTCTCTACCGCTTTATTGACGAGTTGAACTGCAGCTCCTATCGCCTCTCTCTCTCTCTCTCTCTCGTGTGCCGGTCGGCGGTTTTTAAAATATATATATATAAATTCGAAAACTCTTAAAAACGTTTACACGCAAAATGGAATGGCATTTCGCCTTGCCAGCTGTTTTTTTTTAGAAATGGTCATCGATCTATAGAAGTCGCGGTTGTCGTTCGTATTTTTACGTTAAAAAATACCGCCATGAACATAGTAGGTATGTTGCTGGTCTTTTAATCATTATAGTTTGAAAATAATCGAACCGCACTGAGCATATGGGTGGACGAAAACATTGTTCATTTTCACCCATAAGCATTGAAGAATGACTTTTATATAAAATAATCTAAATTTTATGAAAATTTTATTTATAGTAAACTAGATAAAATAAAAAAATGCAGTGAAAAATAGATTTTGAGAAAGACAAGGTTTCTATGAGTCCTAGAACTCAGATGTAGATATGTAGCCCTTTTGTTCAATCTATTTTCTACATGGAATTTAGACCTAATTTTTTACATGTATATAGTCTCTAACATGGAGAATATTAATTTGTAAAGGAAAACTATACAATGAGACTATTCATCTTTGACACAGGATGGTCACAATTAATATTGACTACTAGATGTGAAAATTAAGTAGATGCATTTATTTCATTGATCAAGCTCAAAGTTTAAAATAAAATTTTTTGAATTTTGTGACAAATCCAAAGTATAAAATTTTACATCGGATGGTTATAAGTAAAGGTTATTGTGACATCTTTGTGCTAAAGGTCGATAGTCTTATTGTATACAATCTCATATATAAAAATAAAATAAATTTAAAGCTAAAAAAGATAATTTTTAAGAAATTTTTTTTTAACCGTTAGATTCTATTCTTTTATGAGGGACATAACTTCAGATCAGTGGGATGTTTGATACGAAGGGAGATGCGAATGTAGAAATGCATCCCTCAAGTCATAGACCACTTTTCATTTTATAGTCCTTTACCATTTAGCACAATAGGTATTATTATATGTTTGGAAAAAGTTTATATAAGGATGCAACCTTACAATGTAGAACTAGGATGCACCTCAAAAATCCATCGGATAAGGTAGATTTAATGTTGGAAAACCCTTTCATTGATCGTCTCGACATCGAGATGTATGACCATGAAAAATAAAAATATTTTAAATCTGAGAAATAGTGCATCTTACAGCATATTATCTACACTGTCTACTTTCAATATTTTCATATGTTTATAGATTTACTTGATTTAAAAAATTTAAATTTAAATTTAATAATTAGAT